ATACAGCAAAAAATATATACGTATATACTCTTAGAACTGAAAGATGCATTGAGGTTTTTACTGCTTCTGAAAGAGATTTGTGTGGGTTTGACTAAATAGCATCTAGTATTCTTCTGGCTCTGAAAACAAAAACAAATTCCAATTCAAATACTCATTTCTATCTGTTGGCTCACCTCTTCATTCTGGCTACTGGTGACTAGAGTACATTTCACTAGTTTTCTGATAGTGGCTGCCGTTGGTTTGATCAATGACTTATCTTTCAACAAGTTCAAGATCATGTTTCTTTTATTCCTTTTCGGCCTCAATGTTCACGTCTTCCTTCTCTTTAATTCTAGCCTCACTAACACACTCATCCAAACCCATGTCCACTTACATACACACCAAGGAGCTCCTGCCCCTCTGGGAAGAACGGGGATCGCTACATATTTAGCAAAATCAGCTGATCCGCCAAACTCAAAAAGATCAGCATCCAAAAACATGCATCCAAAAATATTCTAGCAGACAGACATTTATGATCAGTTCTAAAGGATTAAGTAGGTGTAACCACATACTCCTGCCAAAATCCTTGAGCCAAGTAAACCCGCTTATTTTTTGTGATGTAAAAAGAATGTGATATCTGACAGAAAGTTATGATTGAAGAAATCCTAGAAGAGCTAGTTAACGGACAGTCAACAATTATGTAAGATAACTGCGGCTTGCTGGAAAACAGCTGCGGATGCACATGACCCAGAAAAAGGGATCTCCATGTCAATAAAGGCATTCGAAGGAAAAGGAATCTTAAGGGACCACATACTGGACTTGTTCTTGCAAAATGACCTCCAGCCACACCTAACAGGCAATGGGCCCAGGCCTGTAGCCACCAACAGGCTGAGGACAGGCACTGCCTTGTCCACTGGCGGCAGGGCAGTGGCCCGAAGCTTCAAATCATATGGTGGTTCTAAATGAAGGTTTTACTATTTCTAAGGAGTTGGAAACCATGGCAAACAATTCAGGGGAGATATTTTTCCTCACACTTGAGAGAACGACTAAAACAGGTTCAAGAAAAAGTTTTCCTCAGAGCACCAGAAAACACCGTGAGCTACACCCCAGCAGTACAATCTAGCAGGCGGCCAGCAGAGTTCTCCACGGGTTTCTCCTGCTGGCCTCAGAGCTGCTCCAGCTGAGAATTCTATCTGAGATACAAGACAGAAACAAACAAAAGGCAAAAGGCAAAGGCGAGGATACTATCAGAGAATAAGAAGTCAGCTGATAGTTTCCAGGTCCCAGATCAGTAACAGAAAAGGAAAAAGATACTGGACAATGTTCTTAGGCCCTTACAGGAGCTCATTCTTTTTTTCTTTTTTTTTTAATGAGGAAGATTGGCCCTGAGCTAACAACTGTTGCCAATCCTCCTCTTTTTGCTTGAGGAAGACTGTTGCTGAGCTAATATCTGTGCCAGTCTTCCTCTATTTTGTATGTGGGATGTCACCATAGCATGGCTTGGTGAGTGGTGTGTAGGTCTGCGCCCTGGATCTGAACCCGAGAACCCCAGGCCACCAGAGTCGAGTGCACAAACTTAACCACTACGCCACTGGGTCGGCCCCAGGAGCTCATTCTTTCTCTCTGTTTTATGAAAACTTGACTACAAAGAAGGCCGTCTCCCCTTGTGGTGGTTGAAATAATTTTGAGTATCTTGGCCCTAATTTTGATTAGCTAATAAAGTCAATAACATTCCACGCAGCAAAAATCAAAGCTAATGTTTGTCAGGTAATATGCTACGTATTAGTTTTCTCAATAAAGAGAATTTTATTCAAGGAAAGTGTATCATGAGCACCAGTTCTGTCCTCACAGCATTTTCCTCCTAAAACTGATCTGTCTTCTCCATCTCAGTAAACGGCACAACCACCACCCAGCTACAAAAACCCAAGGACCGGGAAGTCACCTTTGATTTCCCTTTCCCACTGTCCTCGTCGAAGCCGCCAAAAGTCCCAGCCGCTCTGCCTGCTGAGTCCATCCCACACCCACTGACTCGCCTCCACTGCCCTCACCACCATCCTCTCCCCAGCGCCCTCCACCATCTCTCACTCAACTACGCAACACCCCCTGGTGTTCCCACCTCTGCTTCTGCCCCTGCACTCACTCTATTACCCAAAGACCAGGCCGGGTGATCCAGGCGAAGCACAGGACAAAGATGGTCTTCCCCTGCGCAGACCCAGCCATAAGCTCCCACCTCACAAATCACAAACAAAACATCCATTTTCCTTCCAGAGCTTTCAAGACCTTGAAGGTTCTGGTTCCTGAGCCCTTTCTGTTTTCTGTCCTCATCTCAGGAAACTTCAGCTACACGGGCCCTCAGGCTGTGCCTTGTTAGCTCATGCGTGTGCTCTCCCCAGGCCCTTTGCACTTGCCACTTGAGCTTCCTGGAATGGCCTTCCCTCCAGCCTCACCTCACGGCTCCTTAGTGAGGCTTCCCTCCACATTCGCCCCTCCCCAGCCCCATTCACTCCTTCATATTACTCGGGTTTCTTTCCTTCGTGGCCCTTATTAGAATCTGATATACATTCATTATCTATGCTTTTATATGTTGTTGTTGTTGTTTCATCTGTCTGTCTCCACCGTGAAGAGGATACAAATCTCAGAAGAACAGGAATCTTATTTCTCTTGCTCACTTACACATCTCTGGAGCCTAAAACACTGCCTGGCAGGCAGAAAGTATTTGGTAAACACTTGTGAATGAATTAACACGATCACTCAAAGCTCTCTGCCTTTTAGTGTTCTTGAAATTTTAAGTTAACATGTGAGAGAAAATGTGAAGTTCTTTCATATTTAGAAAATGCTATAGAATAGCATTTCTAAAGCAAAATGCTACGCCCTAAAAATACATAAATAACACGGGCCTAAGTCAAAAGGGTGGACTGAAGTAGGCGAATCCATCAACTGCATCAGTCAGACCCCAGATCAAACTTCTGTGGCTCCAATTCCGCGTGTGAGATGAGAGGGGAGGGCGGGACTCCAGGGAAGGGCCCAGTCAGGAGCCCATCCCGCAGGGCGTTCTGTGCTCAAGGCAACCATCCTCAAGAGAACTGTGGGTTAGAAATCCTCCCCACAGCGGGATTTCTGGAATCAGCAGAGACTAATTAGGGGAAACTTCTCTCCCCACAGCTAAGAGGATTCCTCCCCACCCCCCCACTAGACCCTCACCTACACGACGCCTGTACCGTTACCTCCTCTGGGGTTTGAAGACGCCCCTCGAGAGGCACACAGTGAACACACGCTCCCTCCTGAGCTGCTGCTGAAGGACAGGCCGACGCTTCTTACTAGAGGACGGAGGTTCCTGTTTCTTTTGCGTCCAGTTAGGCAGGAGAAGCAGAGAGGACTACAGAGCCAAGGAACACAGGAAGAAGAAAGGGCAACCACAGAAAGTTGGGGGAAGAGAGGCCCCATCCTGAGGCTCTACTTCAGACACTGTCATGGGATCTTATTTATTTGTTGCTGCTTTCCACTCTCTCGGCCACACCCAGCGGCCCTCTGGAGGGCTGAGGCTGGGAGGGTGGAGTGAGGGGGATGAGAAGCAGCCAGGTCAGTGATGAAAACAACAGGATTACCTCCTCTTTGCAGTTTATTCCAATTCCGCATTTACTGAGTGAGAAGACTTTACCGCTGAGCTTTAAGGGAGGAAATGCAGTCGATCTGGGAATAGTTTAATCAAAAAGCAACCATTAGACATGGCTTGTGCCTGCCTTCATTTCTACCATACATACTTTAATCCCAACGTGCCAACTGATCTATCTTCTCCAACACTTTTGGCCCACCACGGCCCTCCAGGTTCTGTCTCTATAATAACACACACCTCTTGCAAAGGACAAAGGAGAAGGGAGGAAAAAATTTAAATTATCCAATTCTTCCCAGAGAAGAAAAAGATCTCCCAGGCAGTGATTGGCTGTTATGTCATCAAAAAATAAACAAATAACTAGATCTTAAGAAGGAAGTATTGCAAGTCACAGCACATGCAGGGAATCGACTTTCAGGTGGGAAGAACCAGGAAGATCTCACGATATTTCATGCAACTTATTTTCCTAATACTCAAGGGAGGTCAAGGAAGACGAAAGGTCACAATGGGTAAAGAAGAGAAGAAAAACAGGTGAATAAGACATTTTATTATTGACTATCATCCCAGCCGGGGCTCATTTTCATCATCTTTCAGAACTCATTATTTCCAACCTTGATCAATAGCGTGAACATTGATAAGGCGGAGCAGTCAGAAGCAATGGAACAAACGTTACTAACCCGTCTGGACGAGACCCACTGCTCTGCCTCACAGATTCCCGGCTGCGCACGGTGAGCCCACCGGACCTTCAATTTTCTTACAAGAAATTCATACATGAAAATTCTTATATATCTGGGTTTTAGATGCCTACCCATCACAACCAATGTCACACGTGGACCACATACCTGAGAAAGATTAGCAATGCTCTGGCTTGAAAAGGACAATCCAGCTGTGCTGATATTCGTTATGAATTATGAATATGCCTTTGGAATTACTGTGCCGCAGTGTTAACTCTCTGGGTGAATGGGAGCTGGGGGAGGAAGCAGACAAGGCTGCCTCATGTCAACGTTCAGCACACAGATGAGCTATGAACGCACTGAAATAGCCGTCTAGGGCCCATGGAAACCTGCGGCCCACTGGGACAAAGTACTCCCTAGGGATCAGCTTCTGCAGGAACGTCTATGACCAGCAAGGTCAGAAACACTGACTCGAGCCATTTTACAGTCATCACTGATTAAAGCAGGCTGGAGACTGTCCAGAGCGGCCATCTGTTCGGAATAGGAGGTTTGGCAAATAGACTTAAGAATACCCCAGTCCAAAAGGAAAGTGTAGAAACAGACAACCGAGCGGCTGGGGGCGACGGCCTGCATCACGTGCTGGGTTTTAAATTGCAGGGTGACTGGGCAGGCGCACAGCACAGCTGCCATTTCAACCGCACTCTGCCTGACAGACGGGAGTGAACCCTCCTACTTACATCAAACGGAGCGGAACTCGATGGGGCGTTCTGACGACACGGCTCCCTGAAGCAGTCGCTGAAAGGCAGCAGAAGGCCCATAGCGATGATCCGGGAGCAAAACTTCTCCGCTTCTTCTGGGGGCCCGTTCTCCTGCTGGCTGAACAGCTTCTCCAACAGAGTTCGCCCTGCAGAGGAGACAGGTCGTTAGAGGGAGTGCTCACAGATCACCTGGCTCAGAACTCTCCAGAGACAGGCCAGGTGAACACAGCCGGTGAGCAACACCGTTGCCAAGGCTACTGCCGGGCGCAGAAAGCAGCCTCTCAAACTCGGAAAACTGAGGCCTGGGACCCCACTTGGGACAGGGCAGCTCTGGCCGGCTCTCCATCCCCCAAAATACCTCCTGCCCTCAAAGAGGATGTGCCCCGTTATGGGCCACACATCTCCCATCTGAAGCAGCACCCCAGCCTCTTGGATTTCATTGGCAACCTTCCTTCCTCTCCTTGTTCACCCTGCTGATACATCGCTGAGGAAGCGGTGAGTGGCCACCGACTGCGCTAGGACATGTCCAGGACATTGACGGTCTCCGGCATGGTGATAGGGAGGGCCGCGGAATGAGGAGACAGGGAGGTAGGCAAAGGCACCAAGCGTGAGAAGGGAAGAGAGCTGGCCATCAAAGTGAGTCACCTGACGAGGAAAGTACGAGAGAGAGAGACAATTTTCCCATGCGACTCAGAACCAGAACTCTAGGGTGGGTCCCAACTGCAGTGTTTTATAATTTCCATAAAAGAGACACAAAGAGAGAAGAGAGGCACGAAGAGAAGAGGACACGGGCTGAGGACCTGAGAGAGCCGGGCCACCTCGTCCATGGTTCTCAATCCCAGCTGCACCTCGACTCCCCGGGAGCAGAGAAGGACTGGAAGTGGGACTGGGGGTCAGGATGCTACTGTCTTCACGTGGTTCTACGGTCAGCCGGAGCTGCGAGCCACAGGTCCAGTCCCCACTCCATTTCTGACACCACTCGCTCTCTCATTCATTTAGCCTGTTTCTGCATTAATCGAAACAGCAAATGTCTAGGGTCCCCCCCCAGGGCCACACTGTCCCCTCCGTTCTTGCCCTGCTCCTGGCCCTCTAATTAGTGGACTCATTCCTCAAAGTTAGATGACAGTCACTTCCCAGACTAACCTCCAGTGACCCCTCCACACTCTTCAGGCACCTTTCAGAGCTCATTAGCGTAATTCATTAGTTTAATTATTTGTGCAATTATATGTTTACTGGCCACCCCCCTTACTAAAACACACTCTCTGATAGCCAACACAGATCCTGCAAACCTGGCCACTTGCACATAAGAAGCATCAATAAATATTCTTAGGATTTCTGAAGGACTACACTGCTGATTCTGTGACAAAGACTCATTCACACCACGGTCAGAACTGGACATGACACATCAGCCTAAAGCAGGGGTCAGCAAACTTTTTCTGTAAAGTGCCAAGCAGTAAATATTTTAGGCTCTGGGGGCCACGAAAGGTCTCTACTGAGCATTCTTGGTTTCGTTTTGTTTTTAACAACTTTAAAAATGTAAAAAGCATCCTTAGTTTGGGGCTGTGCAAACCAGGCCCAGGTCTCTATTTCAGCCACAAAAACTGAATTTCCAATGTAATAAATACTGAATTCTGTCAGGACACTAGTCATGCAGTTTTCATGCCTCTTCCTATTTTTGTTTGTAAAACAAAACTAATTTCAAAATCTACCTCTGATACGCGAATGACAAAGCAGAGCAAAAGAGGCCTCTCTATTTTCTCCATTCCTTTAGGTCACTAGAGGACATTCTTTAGTCTCCCAGGACATTTTTTGAGGGGAAATAAAGGAATTTTTTTTCCTTGCAGAACTTAAGTTTGTCTGCACCAAACTGGAACCAAACACCTAGAAAACCACACCCATCTATTCTCAAGTGATTAATTAGCATTACAGTGTACTCATTCTACACATCTCACGGTATGAGTGAAAACAGCCAGAAGACTGATAGTTCTTTCCTACAACACAGATACTGTTTATGACCGAAAATAAGGGAGACAGGGCTGTGTGTGTGTGTGAGTGAGTAAATATGTGTGTGTATGTCAAGCCAAAAATTATCAAAAGGGCTACAGGGGCCAACCTGGTGCTGTAGTGATTAGGTTCATGCACTCCACTTCGGCGGCCTGGGGTTTACCAGTTCGGAGCCCAGGCATGGACCTAGCACCACTCACCAAGCCATGCTGTGGCGGCGTCCCACATAGAAGAACTAGAATGACCTACGACTAGGATATATAACTATGTACTGGAGCTTTGAGGAGGAAAAAAAGAGAGGGAGACTGGCAACAGATGTTAGCTCAGGGCCAACCTTCCTCAAATAAAAAAAGAAACAGCTTGAATTTAAAAAAGAAAAGAAAAGGGCTACAGAACAACGTGGGAGAGAGGGGAGCACAACCCCCTGGAACTTCGGTTCTCTGATGAGCAAATACCCCTCCATCCTTCACCCAGGTTTCTCAGCCGCAACAGCACTGACAACTCAGGCCCGATAATTCTGTGTTCCAGGGCCTGTCCTGTGCACTGTAGGATGTTTAGCAGCGTCACTGGCCTCTACTCACTAGATGTCAGCAGCACATCCACCCTCCTCCAGCTGTAACAGCCAAAAATGCCTCCAGACAATGTCAAATGTCCCCTGGTGGCACAATCACCATGGCTGAGACCCCGCCTTAAGCTCCCTCTGAAGGGAACTTCACCTCCTGCGTTAACAGTAACCTGGCCTCCCCTTGAGTCCTCCTCTCGGTCCAGTCAGATGGAGACAGCTGTGTCAAATCCCACGTACCTTAGGCACAGGAAGCAGGTGGGCAATGTCCTCATTCCCCACGGGTGCTTTCCAATGACTTGTTCTCCTTCAAAACCATCAGCTCCCTTGAAACTCCTGCCACTGGCTAGACCACCTGCCACCCCTCTCCTTTCTGCCATCCACTCACCTCTTGTCATCCCCTCCCCCATTCACTAAATGCTTCCCCTCCTGACTCAACTGCCCTGTCTTCCACCCATACTCCTGTCACCACTGTCACCGACATTCAGGGAGATAACTCATCCCAGACCTTGAGTCCGTGCCTCCAGCCAGTGTTTCCTCCACCCCCGCTGATGACCCACTCCCATGTCATTATCAAGACCTGCACCCCCCCACAAGCCCAACGTCACAGCTGACGCCAATGCTCCGCTGGCTGCCCGGTCCCTCCTTCCCTTTGCTCCTGCCTGCTGGTTTCTCCTCCTTGAACACTGAGCTCTCTACCCTTGCTGCCTCCGACGAGAATGCTCTTCTCCAGGGACTGAACAACTCTCCCTCTCATTTCATTTATGTCTCTGCTCAGTTGTCACTTCTACCAAGAGCATCTCCTGACCACCTTTCTAACACAGCACACCTGTCACTTTTCCCATGGTTCCCCTCTACGCTTCAGAGAGTTCAGCCCTGGGATTCATGTGAGTCTGTGGTGTGTCTCCCCCCCATGGAATAGACCCCATTTTAGCAGATTCTGCTTTTCGGTCACCACCTTTTACCCACGACCTTGAGATGGCCCTGGCACACAGTAGGTGATCAATTAACTTTTGATCATAAAGGAATCAATATATGTACAAATGTCCGGAAGAAACATCAAATCCCTGGCCACTACCTTCTATGGTTTCAGCTTCTTATTCCAGAAGCCCCTCTAAAGCTCCATCCTCCACATGGCCCTTGAATCAGTCGTTCCTACCAGTGTCACAGGATCCCTCATTCCTTCCTCACCCGCTTGCATTCCATGCTCCCCGACTCCAATCAAATCCCACAGCACATCAGCTCCTCGTCCCTCTCCCTCCACCCTCTCAGGCTGGTAAACCTTAACTCGTCCAAGCCTAGCCCTCCACTTTCTCTCTGCCTGCACCTGAGCAACTCGACACGGTGACAGAAAGACCCACGTGTGGCCTGTTTTCCCTTTAAGATCAAGACATAAACCTCAATGAGGCCCACTTCTGCCCCACATTCTCTGCTAAGCTTCCAGTCTCCAACACAACTTCATGCAGTTTCTCCCCCCTTAACCCACTCTTTCCAATGACGAGAGGATGATCTTCTCAAACGATTTATTGAGAAAATGGAAGCATCTGGGACAAACTGCAAATACGCAAACACTCACGCCTTCACCCTCTCTGCCTCTCTCCTCACGGTGGACACAGGCCCTGCTCCAGACGACAGCGAGCTCTTCCCCGTGTGTCTGCACTGAATTCCTTGTGGCACACGCGGGACTTCACTTCTTAACTGTTCCTTCTCTCTCCCAAATCATGAACATTTCCTTCTTTACTGGACATTTCCAGAATCACACAAAACATGCCTCATTAAAAAAAATCTCCCTTGAGCCCACATCACTCCTCACCCCCAGCTACGGTCCCACTTCTCAGTTTTCTTCCACATCAAAACTATGAGCCAGAATTACCTACACTGGCTCCGTCCACCCCCTCACTCCTGGCTCAGCCATCCAACCTGAAACGTCTATTTTGGAAGTCACATCTGACTTCGTCCCCACAATGCGACAGAAACCGGCAGCCAACACAGTACACTAACATTTGTCTTCATCTTACTCAATTTCTCAATCCCTCGGAAAATTTTTACTGTTGACCCACTCTTACTCCTTAAAACACTGTCCTCTCATCTTCAGGACGCCTCCCTCTATTTTCTCTAGCTCCCTGGCCACTGTCTCTGAGGCCCCTCTCCGGCTTCCCTACTCAACACATCAATGTGCGAGTGCTCCTCGCTCACCCTGCGGCTTCTTCTCTCAACTTGTCCCATATTCTCTCCTACAGTCTCACCCAGTGTATACACACTCCTCCCCAGGAAACTGGGCAGGCTTTCGTGACTCATCAACAGACCCTGGCAGAAGTGACACCACACGGAGACAAAATGCGCAAGGCTGCTAAGGGAGCCGCAAAGAACGCATCAGAGCAGTGGCAGGGTGGGGAGAAGATGAGAATTCCAAGGACCACTGAACCGGCCGTGAGCTTACCAGTGTTTTTCCTCCACTACCCCTCAGCTGGACTCAAGGTGGCCCGACGCCCGGAAGCAGACACCAGCATGGACCAGGAAGCTTCAGGGGCAGGTTGGCAATATGTGTCCATGGTCTTAAAATGTCCACCTCTTGACCCA